TGAGTAAAAGATTATATAAGCGTAATAATTCATCTGTAAACCTAAAAATGTGCAGCCAATTTTGAAAGAGATGTACCCTAGCTCAGAAAAAATGTTATTGAATAGGTTAATGCTGTTGTAATGAAATGCTTCTTCTAATTTAAAAAAAAAAAAGGAAGTTAAAAAAATACTATATGTATTTCAGGGGCTAGAGACACAGATCAGTGGTTAAGAACACTGAACATTCTCACACAAAACCCGGGTTCAAATCCCAGCACCCACATAGCAGCTAACAACTGTCTGTAACTTCAGTTCCAGTGGATCCGACAGCGTCTTCTGTCCTTCTCGGGCATTGCACGACACGGGTGCACTTACCTACATGTAGGCAATACATGCATACACATTAAAAAATAAATAAATAAAATATAAAAAATTACTATGCACTTCAATGCTTAAGGATCAAATTATAATGTTTTGTTCTCAGCAAGAATTAATAACTCAATTGTTTTGATGTGCTACAAATTTTCCTGTATTTGGATTCAATATGAATATTCTATGAGAATTTTCTTTTTCTGTGTTTCTCTAACTAGAAAGATACCAAAAAAGTCAAGGCATTTTTAGAACAGATCACTCAAAAATCCAACACCCAGTCCTGCTGGGTCACAAATTAATGACTTTTCCTACCCTACTTATATTTCCAGAAGCCTCCTTTAAATGTAAGACAAAAATCACTCCACTCAATAAGCAAACAGCGTTTGTATTACAGATCATTGTTCTTTATCAGGAATAATAATGCACTTTCACTTTTTACAGGAAATGGAAACTCAAACCTCAACAAATGGACACAACGGTTCGAAATGGCTCCCAAATGGGCCATGCTGAAAATTGATCTGGTTGCTTGTCAATTCCATTATTCAGAGAGTACAGCAGCAGCAAGGCTGTATCCAACGCTGGCTTGTCGTCCTCCCACAACATAAATCTTACTCCACAAAAATATAATCATCTCCAGGACTAAAATTTGAACCTTGAAACCTAAATAAACAACTTTTCACCAGCCTCATTAATAAGCACTGAACCAGGTTCCAAACAAACACCTGAACACATGACAACCAATGCAACAAAACATGCCACAGCAAGTCACCACCAGTACGACATTCTAGAAGAAAAGCAGGCTGTTGTTTGACATAGTCTTTATAATATTTATTTCTGATTTTTGTTTATGATCCCTTTTAGCTGATTAGAGTACTGCTAACTAAAATCCTGAGTTGAAACTTTTCAACAATGGCCCACTCTTTGATCCTTTTCAAATAATCCTATTCTATCCCATCAATAGGAAAGACGCCATGCTTCTTTACCTGGAGGATTATGTTCATTGAGAATCACAAGTGATGCTGGTGTAGGTCTTCTTTTCCTGATCTGTGAAAAACAAAGGCCCAGCTAATGTCAGTGTGACAGTTGGACAGTGCCCTTCAGTGGCTCCACAGCTTGCAAAACTGCCCAATCTCATCTTTACCCAACATACTTCTAGAACTAACACAGTATATGCTTACTATATATCTTGAAGACTAGGAAGCTAGAAAGCAGAACTGTCAGATTTTACTTACACCTTTGACTACAAAGCTACATTTTTCAAAAAAGAGAAATAGTTGTATATACCCACAATGCAACTGAAAATTAATGTATAGTAGAGTTACAGGGATGACTTGTTCATTCAGTGGCTCTCTTGGAGCCTCATGATATTGGTGATGCTTTCAAGGTCCATTGCCCTTATCTGAATGAGGTCAGAAAAATTTGGAAGCTTCAAATTTCTACCACGTGTCCTAGTTAAGTTGACATTAATTTTGTATTTCAATTAATATGATTGATTTTTTTATCTTTTAATTTAGTATTTAGAAGAAACTGACAAATCATCAATGAATATGGACCTTACAAGAATCTGGCAGGACTAATTGGCCTCAGTGAGTTACAAAAAATAAAAAGGACAAGACAGGAAGATGGGAGAACATGTTAGTATATGTCCAAGGGAGTGGGAGGCGAGAGTCGGGGTGGATATCATCAAGATTCATTGTTCACATGTACAACACTATCAAGGAATAAGTAAAAGACATTTCAAAAAAGGCATAAGAAGGAAAAAAAGAACATACACTTCATTTAAACTAAGATTTGGTGGGATTTTTCCTTATTTTAGGAGTTACTGAATTAACATTGGATTCTCTTGCTCCAGATAGACTTTATTCATTTAATATCTCCTTTTATACTTAAATTCCCTGAGTGTGTGTCAGTAGGATAAAGGATAAAATGTACTAATGGTGTCTTATCTAAGACAGAAGTAATATTTCACTTAGCAGGTAAACATGGTTAGTTCTATTTATCTGGCTTGAGTCTTGGTAGCTCTTCTTGAGATTGTCAAAAAAAACATAAGGAATAAGAATCTCATATTCAATAATTATTTTTAAGACTTTATATCAAGCATTTAGAAAAGGATTTGGGGGTGATTTACTTTTTAAGTAATGAATTGGGTTGGTGTCCACATAACTCCCCTACTTGCTTCCTACAGCACTCTACATTTGTGTTTGTACCATAGATCGTCTTTTAAGTGAGGCCATTGCATCCAGAGTCTAAATACACCTTAACATGAAAGGTGATAGTGTTGGAAACCAATATTAGACATGGAAAAGGAATCTAGCAAAATGTAAAATATTACTCTTCATATCTGCAAGTCTATTCTTTATATATGACATGCAACTATTGTTTGGGATACACAGTGAAAACACACTAAAAATATTAAGCCTATAATAATAGCCTGAGATTTAGTGTCTTTGCTGTTACATCCCTTTTAATTTGTAAATAACAAATAAATGCTGCTAACATTGATAATGTCTTCAGAGCTGCTCTAAATGTTGAGGTCACTATTTTAATGAAGAAAAGCACACACATAAGCTCCAAACCAGAATTTCTCCAAACCAGAATTCGTACATTGGTATTAATTTTATATGAAATGGAGAACTACTAAAGTTTTAGTCAACCATTCCCCAGTGCGACCAAACCACAAGCATAAAAGCAAACTCTCAGTTACATATCTTAAAAGTCACAAGATTGGGCAGATTTAAAAGGTAGAGAACTTTTCAGTTAGTAAGACCGCATGTTCATATTGTCTAATACACAAGAAATGCTCCCCACCCAATTCCCCTTACCTGTTCTGCTGCCTCCGGAGCAATCTGACTCTGGAATAACGGCACAGCAAACTGTATCTTTTTGGGACTGTTGGGCTCCATGTCAGTGATGAGAATTAAACAGAGTTGTGAAGAGCTAAAGAACCAACGGAAGTGAGCTTCCTTCGGCACACTCTACCAAGCTGCACGCAGAGCTTTGTAATAAATAGCTGTAATTCCAGCCTGAGCAAGTGAAGATGCCGAGGTTGAGTAACTCCCTTCTTCAACATCCACAGTGATGTCTGGCTTGTCTGATCCTCCACCAATATCTTGGATCCTCTCAACACAATACGGAAAGGAAAAATAAGCTAATTGTGTGCCTGTTCACTAATACACATGCCAAGCTTTCACTCAGCAGCTAATTGAAAATGCAATGCTAGCCTTGAAGGACCCGCTGCCCTGGGATTTGAAAGAAAGGCTCTATCCACTGTACATTACTAACGGGCTGCTCAAAAGTGCAGTGTAAGCTCCCTCTGAGCATTGCAGGAATGGCCATTCATTATTGATGAACATAAAGCAGGAAGTTTTCAGAGTCAGGGGGCAGGGTTTGCCTCATTTCTTTGAGGCAACTTATAAGTCAGACACCTTCGTATTTTTCACTCAGTCACCACATAAATGAATGACCATGGATGGTTAAGCCACAACCAATAATACTAGCTATATTTATACTTCAGGGTCTGGTAAGTTTAGACTGATCATAAGAAGAAATCATCTGTGGCACATTGAGCACTGCACAGCCCCAGGGCTGAGCAGACCTTAGTTCAAGTTCCACCTCCACCATTAATAAGCTCTGTGGCCTCAAGCAAATCACAGCATACGTCTAGGTCTCATACTTTCAAGAGAAAAATGAGGGAGTTGGGTCAATGACCTTTAAGCCTACATTCTGTCCTAACATTCTATAATTGTAGTTCACAGTTTTCATTAGTGGAAAGTATTGAACAGCTAAATTTAGCAAACAGCTTGGAAGTCATAGCAATGACCTCTATTTTAGTCCCTGATGGAGACAGCTAATTACATCTTCCAGTTTGGACATATCCAGAAGTGACTGGAAAACATTAGTGGAACCCAAATGATATCCTACACATTAGCCTGGTATCAATAGCGGGATGTGTGAAAAGATACAGACTTGAGAAAAAGCAGAAGAAGGATCAGCTTCAGGACAGCTGGTGAAGTCATGAGGTTTGTGGTCAGGGAAGAGCAATCCGGTCATCAGAGAGCCTCCATGCACTCTGCCCCTTCTGTAAAGGAAGCCTGCAAATGAACCTGTTTAAGTAAAAAAAAAAAAGAACTTGAATTCTCCACTTCCCCCACCTGAAAAGTGTAATATAATGAATACTAGATTTCAAAATATGGTTTTAAAATAAATATGGCCATTAAATGCATTTTGACATTGTATATGATTTGTAGATCTTTACAAATAAAGTTTCCTTTTTTCCTAAAGGTCTCTTTCTATACCAGGAATCTATCTTAATGATTGAAGTATACAATGTTCTGCTGAAAGAATATGGAAAGTAATATGCATTATTCAAGCAGTTTTCTGTATACACTAGAGGAAAACACAAATGAGGATGGAGCTGGGAAAGCACTTTTAGGTGGAGAATAATGCTGACCAACAAGAAATCTTGTGAAGGATTCATTTCTGCAGAGTGGAAGGAAAACTTACAAATCACAAGATTCTACGTAAGAGTTTACAAAAAGACGGCAGAAAGAAAATATGGGTCAATACTATTAATGAAGTTATTTTTCTGAATGTTTCTTCAAATTATATGAAATGAAACCAGACAGTGAGGAGTTAATCTGTAACTTTGTTCAGCACAGTTGTTAAGAACAAGCTCTTGGCAGCCTCAAACTCATGCCCAAGCTTTGCTGCTTACTAAGTTAACAACTTAGGCAATAAATGAACTTTCTTTTTGTGAGGTTTAGATGAGTGAACTCCTAAAAAGAGTTTGGCATAAAAATCAGTATACAACTACTCTGTAAAAGATAACTATTGCTTTTACTAGTTTTTTTCAAAGAGTTAATGATATATATTTTTAGCATGGATTGCTAAAAATCTCTATGTGTTTAAAAGTTTGATGCCAGTTGAAACAATAGAAGATAAAATAAAATTCCATGTATTTTTTTTGGCAAAAATACCAAAAATGACTATCATTAGTTAACTGTCCTATGGGGTGGTGTATGGCATGCATAGATGTATGTACATATGTTTGCATGTGTATGGACACATGCATCCACAAGTGTGCTGGGGCATGTACATATATGCAGGAGGAAGCAAGAAGCTGACATGGATATCATTTTCCCCAATCACTTTCCACCTTGTATATTTTGAGGCAGGGTCTCTTACTCAAACCCTGAGTTTGATTCATCTAGTCTAGTTTGTTTGCTCTAGGGATCCCCTGTCTCTGTCTCCCATATGCTGAGAACGCAGGCCCACTGCCATGTCCACTGAATATTTACACAGGCAATGGGGACCTGAACTCTAGTTTTCATGCAGCATAGCAAGCACATTATGTGCTGAGCCATCTCCCAGCCCCTAATTGCCCTCTCTTGAATAGTTTGACCAGAAACAGTATCATAAAGAAACTTTCTGGGCTTTTTAAGATTCTTATTCTATTAAGTCAACCAACTCCTGGACACCCTTCAGGAGTCAGCTGAGTAGCACTGCTTCTAGGAAAATATTATAGATTTGTTTCTATACATATTGGGGTGGGAACTGCCTCTCCCATCATCCCAGAGTACTCAATGTATCTCTATCTAGCACAATAGCTACCTCTCTCTTAATTAATAATTTGAAAACCTTTCCACATAGCATTATGATCCACTCCTCGCCAGACCTTTTGCTTGGCATTAGAGGAAAGACTGTGTTTAAAAGTCTCATTTAAAATCCTTTTAAAGCTAAATTGTCAATCAGCCTTACTTATATGCAACTTTATTAAAGTAACCAAAAATTTTTATATGAAGTTTACCAGCACTAAATTATATACACATACCAAGGCCTATGATTATATTAAATATTAAGTATGCATTTTTCTCTTGATTAGAGATAATAATAATGATGATAATAATGACTTCTTTTATATGATAGTTACTGTATCCACACACTACTCTAATTGCTTTGCCTATATTAAATTATTTACTGCTCATAAATAACTTTTCAGTTCATCCTAGCATGATCTCTGGCCCTAATTTCAAATGCAAAAACTGTGAATCAGGGAGTTTAGGAAATTTGCTCAAGATCATCCAGCTAATGAATGGCACATACCAGTTTCAAACCAGACACAGATTTGGAGTGATGATTCAGCAATTAAGAGAACTGCTTTTGTAGAGGAGCTGGGTTCAGTTCCCAGCACCTACATGACAGCTAATTCTGTAACTCCTGTACCAGGGGATCTATCACCTCTTCTGACTCTGTGGGCATTGCATGCACACGGTACACTTATACACATGGAGGCAAAATACACACAAAATAAAAATAAACATGTTCCAAAATTTTAAAAATCAGACACAGGCATTTTTGCCTATAGCTGGATTTTTATCATAAAGTTTCCATCAGGGCTAATCTAATGTAAGAACCTCTGGAAAAGACAATGGAAACCACCAGATTCTCTACAGACATTAGGTGTTCTGGCACATGAACCACATGGGAAAATATGTTAAGATGACATGGCATGTGAGTTACGGAAAAGAAAGCAGCATGATTGTAGGATGTTTTCGTCATTAAGATCTTATGTTTCCAATTACTTATCAGTACAGAATGGAGAATCTAGAGTTAGATATTATGTCCCCAGACTGACTGAGATGCAGTTTTGCTCTTTTCTCTTAAAAAAAAGTTATGTGTTCTATGATTGAAGGTTTGAAATGTATCCAGAATAAGCACTAAGTGTAATCTGTCTTCAAAGTAAGTATTCCATGAATACAGATGATGAACAGTAAAGGAGCCACGGGGCCTTACTCATTTTACTCTGTGCCATCCTGTCCTACTTTAAACAGTTCCTTAAGACATCCGTGCTGACTACTAAGTCACTGATCATTTTGTGGCCTTTCCTACTGTACCTGGAAGACTTCTTAGATTCCTTTCTTTTAACCAAATTAGATTTATACTCCAATTCTACTTACCAAGGAAGGTACCTTGGTAGTACCTTCAGATTTATGAATGAAATGAATTACTCGATTTATTTTCTCTCCTGGTATTGAATTGAATGTAGTTTAATATTTATGATTTTCTATCATTTCTTCTGCTTTTCCCTTGTACTGTAAATCCTACTTTTAAACACAAACAGGAGCAAGATGTTAGTTTTCTCACTAAATAAGTCCAGTTAGACCTCATCTTTATAATACTGTAAGGAAATATAAAAGATTTCCACAAACTAAATTCTCTCAAAGACCACAGTTCATCTTTTAGACCACATTTTTATTTCAATGGGCCCTTAAAATACATTTAAATATGTCATGCCTTTTTAAAGAGCATCAACAATTATTTACCTTTTGTGAGTACTCTCTAGCATACACTTGGACACCACTTGATGTACTCTACCACATACAAAGTTGACCATCAAGCCATTATTTCTTGCTACCTTGACTGCTCTCCAAATACATAGGTCTTAGCAGCTCATTTGTGGTAGTCATCTAATATATAATATGTGCTTTATTTGTTGAAAGAAGGGAAATGAACAAAAAAAAGTAGAGAGAAGGAGAAAAGATGAGAGGGGACAGGAAGAAAAGGGGAAGGAAGAAAAAGAATGCTTATTCTATTCTTTAAAATTGTTCTATTTTCTTTTTTATATTTTTCTTTACTCTTGAGAAGTTCATACATGAATATAATGAAATATGATCATATACAACCCCCATTCCCACTTCCAACTCCCTTCATATACCTCTAACACATACCCTTCCCAACTTTCTGTGTTTTTTGCTTGTTTGTTTTGTATCTTGATAACTCACTAAACCCAATCAGCGCTGCCCTTATGTGCATGGATATGGGGCCATTCACTAGACTGGGAAATTTACCAGCAGCCAAACCCTCCAAAAAGAATGATTTGCCCTCCTCCAGCAGTTATCAACTGCTAATAGCGCCACCTGAAGAGGTGGGGGCTGGAAAGCATCTCCCTTTTCTATATCCAAATTTGGTCTGGATTGATCTTATGCCATCTTGTGCAAGTAACCACAGCTGCTATGACTTCCAAAGTACACTAGCAATACTGTGTCCTGAAGACTGCATCACCCACACTCCTCCTATCCTCTGGCTC